CAAAAAACGGCAGTATTTTTGAAAAAATACCGCAAAAAACGGACCGTAAAAAACGGACCGTAATTTACGAAAACCATATTTTTGAACCTTGCCGCGGACCACCAAACTGTATGTGAAGAACCTCGAAGAGGCAGTGGATGAAGACAGGCTCATGGTGGAGTTTGCTGGGTTAGCATAACGGTTCCCCTCCCTCCCTTCCCTCCCTTCCCCTCGTCCCTCCATTCCCACCACCCACCCCTTCATCAGACCACCAACCTGTACGTGAAGAATCATGAAAGAGGCGGTGGACAAGGAGAGGCTCATGGCGGAGTTTGCCCTGTTTGGAGCGATCACGTCGGCTAAAGTGATCCCATTGTTTTTCCCCTCACCCCCTATTTCCTCCTCTCCCCGTCCCCATCCCCCACCACCACAATCCAGACCACCAACCTGTACGTGAAGAATCTGGAAGAGGCGGTGGATGACGACAGGCTCATGGCGGAGTTTGCCCCGTTTGGAGCCATCACGTCGGCCAAGGTGATGCGTGACGACAAGGGCACCAGCCGGGGCTTTGGCTTCGTGTGCTTCTCCAACACTGATGAGGCCAGCCGCGCTATCATGGAGGCCAATGGTGAGTGTTGTTAAGGGGTTGTTTGATTGTCGAGGGTCGAGGATGGGGTTTGGGGTTCGGAACGATCGTGTTGGGTTTGGGTTTATCTGCTTCTCCAACACTGACGAGGCCAGCCGCGCCATCATGGAGGCTAATGGTGAGCGTGGTTAGGGGGCTGCTTGTTTGTCAGGGATCGAGGCTGGGATTCGGGGTTTGGGGTTTGGAACGACCGCGTTGGGTTTGGGTTTGTGTTCTTCTCCAACACTACTGATGAGGCCAGCCGCGCTGTCATGGAGGCTAATGGTGAGAGACTCCGAGGGGCTGTTTGCAGGGAGGCGGGTTTCGGGTTTTGGTTGGGGCTTCGCCTTCTCCCTTTTGCTCCCTCTCCCCTTCCATGGCCTCACACCCCTCTACCCCACCCAATCCTTTCCCACCCCTCCTTTTCCATGCGTCCCTCCCACCCCTCTCCCTCCCTTCACCCCGCCCCTCTCTCTCATCCCTTCCTCCCGCCCCTCTCCCCGGTCAGGTCGTCTGGTGAACGGGCGTCCCCTCTACGTGGCGCTAGCCCAGCGCAAGGAGGTGCGCCAGGCGCAGCTGCAGCAGCAGTTCGCGCTCAGGGGCGCGCTCCCCCCAGGCGTCCTTCCCCCAGGCGCAGCCCTCCCCCCAGGCGCAGTCCTGCCCCCCAACGCCGCTGCTGCCGCTGCCGCTGCCGCCGCTGCTGCTGGGGGACCTATCCCCGGGGTGGCAGGGGGGCCGGGGGGGATGCCCCCTGGTGCGCCCATGTTCCCCCCTGGTGCGCCGATCTTCTATGCTGCGCCCCCCCCTGGGGTGCTGGCGGGAGGCGCGGGCGCGCAGGGGCAGGCGCAGAGGCAGGGGCAGGGGGTGGTGTATCCGCAGATGATGGGGCGGGGCGCTTGGCGGGGGCCCATGCCGCGGGGAGGGTTCCAACCCATGCCCAACTACAATGTGAGTGGCGATGCTAGGGTGTCTGGGGGGCAAGAGGGAGGGGCAACAGGGAGGGGCGATTGGAGAGGCAGAGGCAGGGGCAGAGGAAGGGGCAAAGACAGGGGCAGGGATAGAGGCAGGCGCAGAGGCAGGGGCAGGGGGTGGTCTATCCGCAGATGATGGGGCGGGGCGCTTGGCGGGGGCCCATGCCGCGGGGAGGGTTCCAACCCATGCCCAACTACAATGTGAGTGGCGATGCTAGGGTGTCTGGGGGGCAAGAGGGAGGGGCAACAGGGAGGGGCGATTGGAGAGGCAGAGGCAGGGGCAGAGGAAGGGGCAAAGACAGGGGCAGGGATAGAGGCAGGCGCAGAGGCAGGGGCAGGGGGTGGTGTATCCGCAGATGATGGGGCGGGGCGCTTGGCGGGGTCCCATGCCAAGGGGAGGGTTCCAACCCATGCCCAACTACAATGTGAGTGGCCTGGTTACAATGTGGGTTACATGAGAGGCAGGGTCAGGCGTGAAGTGCTGGGGGAAAAGGGCAGGGGCAGGGGCAGGGGCAGGGGCAGGGGCAGGGGCAGGGGCAGGGGCAGAGGCAAGGGCAGTGTGTGGTGTATCCACAGATGATGGGGCGGGGCGCTTGGCGAGGGCCCATGACCCGGGGAGGGTTCCAACCCATGCCCAACTACAATGTGAGTGGCCTGGTTACAATGTGGGTTACATGAGAGGCAGGGTCAGGCGTGTAGTGCTGGGGGAAAAGGGCAGGGGCAGGGGCAGGGGCAGGGGCAGGGGCAAGCGCAGAGGCAAGGGCAGTGTGTGGTGTATCCACAGATGATGGGGCGGGGCGCTTGGCGAGGGCCCATGACCCGGGGAGGGTTCCAACCCATGCCCAACTACAATGTGAGTGGCGGTGTTACATGAGAGTTAGAACATAGGCAGGGGCAGAGGCAGAGGGAGGGTGAGAGGAAACAGGGGCGTGTATTAGGTAGGCAAAGAGGCGGGGGCTGGGGCAGGGGTAGGGGCAGGGGCAGGGGCAGGCGCTGGGGCAGGGACAGGGGCAGGGGCAGCAGCCTCATTTCCGCCTTCCCCCGTTTCCCCCTGCTTTCCCACGTTCCCCCGCTTCCCCCACTCTTCCCCTTCCCCCCATCCCCCGTGTCTCCACCTGCCAGGCCTCCATTGGTCCGCGCCAGCGCCAGGGGCGGGGGCGACCACAGCAGGGGCAGCAGCCGCAGCAGGTAGAGCAGAAGCAGGGGTGGGGGGGATTGGTGAGATGCAGTGATTGGGGGAATGGGGTGGTGGGGGGGAGGGGGGGATGTGAAGGATGGGGCGGGTGGGGCGGGTTGGATTCAGTAGTGCCTGAGTAGGTTTTCTTCTTCTGCTGCCCTTGTCTGCCCTCTCTGCTCTCTCTGCTCTCTCTGCTCTCTCTGCTCTCTCTGCTCCCGCTACTCTCTCTGTTCCTGCTGCTCCCACTTCTCCCCCTGCTGAAATGCCGAACGCCCTTTCTGTTCCTCCTTTCCCCATGAGAGCCGTGCCAGTGCCAGTGCTGCCAGCCCTCATGGCGCCAGGCGTCTCTCATCGCCTAAGCATCATTTCATTGCTCTGTACCGTTGCTAACCATCTCGAACACCCGGTTTTGTTCCCTCCACTCTTTCTGTTCCCCTTACCCCAGATGCTCCCCATGGGGGTAGTGCCGGTGCCAGTGGTGCCAGTGCCCATGGCACCGGGTGTCGTCCCTCCTGCTGCGCCCATGCCTCTGCCGTCCGATCCGCTCAATCCGACGGCCCTCGCTGCAGCTCCGCCCGCCCAGCAGAAGCAGATGCTGGGGGAGCGCCTCTTCCCACTCATCCAGCAGCATCAGGTGAGATGAAAGGGGTAGTGATGGGTACTGAGGGGAAGCGAGGGTGTAAGGAATGGGTGCTGTACGGTTGAATGAGCTTGAGTTGACGCAGAAGCAGATGCTGGGAGAGCGCCTCTTCCCACTCATCCAGCAGCATCAGCATCAATTGGCTATGAAGAGGGTAGGGAGGAAGGTAGGGAGGGGTATGAATGGGGATTTCAGGTTTGGTGCTCGTGTATCAGGTAGGGAGCAGGAAAAAAGGGCGTTCCGGCTCAGTTGCTTCTTGCCTCTCGAGTTTTTATATTGATGCGGGTAAAAATATCAGGGACTTGATGCGGCTGCTGCTGCCGCCGCCGCCGCTGCCGTTGTTGCTTCTGGACTCACCTTCTTTTCCCTCTATTCACCATAGACGTCCTTAGCCTCCCTGCTTCCCTCCCCTCACTGTCCATTCCAACCGGAGCTAGCAAGTAAGATAATGGACAAGAGCGAGCTGCTGCTGCTGCTGCTGCTGCTGCTGCTGGAATCACGATGCTACTGTGACTCACCGTCTTTTATTGCCTATCTCCCCTCTCAATCTCCTCTCCTCCCACTTAAGCCGGAGCTGGCGGGTAAGATCATTGGAATGCTTCTCGAGATGGACAACAGCAAGCTGATGCTTCTGTTGGAATCACCTTGCTACTGTGACTCAATCCCTCTCCTCTATTCCCCCTCCCCTGTTTCCCACCCCACCGCAGCTTGAGTTGGCGGGTAAGATCACGGGAATGCTCCTCGAAATGGACATCAGCTAGCTGCTGCTGCTGCTGGAATCATCTTCCTTATTTCCCCACTCTCCCTCTCTATCGCCCTCGTCACCCTCCCATCTCCCCTCCCACCCAATCACAGCCGGAGCTGGCGGGTAAGATCACGGGAATGCTCCTCGAAATGGACAACAGCGAGCTGCTGCTTCTCTTGGAATCACCAGACGCCCTCCTGGCCAAGGTGGAGGAGGCACTAATGGTGCTCCGCCAGCACTCGGGGGAGCCGGCGCCTGCTGCTGACGGTGCTGCTGCTTAGTGGACGGCGGGAGCTGTTGCTTAGCGATTCAACTGGTGCAGCTGTCGCTGCTGCTGCGTAGTCAAGTGGCAAAGAGGAGTGCTGGTGCTGTCTGGTCTGGACGACGACGAGTGCTGCTGCTTTTTAGATGCGGCTGATGTGACGATGGCAAGGCTGGTTGTGTCTTTGTGTGCGTGGTGTAGCTTTTTGAATTTAGGCGTGCTTCACATCACATGCGTAGGACCTGCTTCAGCTACTGCTGTTCTGATTTTAGTAACTTAGGCTTTCATGAATGCACAATTTCAAATCCATTCATAACCTTTGCAGATTTCGAACTTCTGATGCTGTCACATGCCCAGGACATGTGTTTCCGTGGTGCATTGCATTGTAATTCTTTAAAGGAACACATAACACCCAAGATCAGAATACACTGCCTAAAAGAAAAGCATTCGTTGCAAAAAATGGAGTTGCAAGGATGAGTAACATGTAGCAGCAGCAGCTGCTGCTCCTCCTAACTGTTGCTGATGTTTTGTTTCAGATGGGTACGATAATGTATTATTGATCTTGCTAATGCAGCTACCATTAGAACTTGCAGCTACAATGTTATTGTTGTTGTTGCTGCTGCTGCTGCTTCTGCTTCTCCTGTTCCTGCTCCTGCAGCAGTTGCTGCTCCTGCGCCATGTAGTCTCGCTTGTATTGATCCAACACTGCATCGTTGGTGCTGAGAAAACAGTGAGCATAACAGATGGAGAGAGGAACAAAGCAATGGATCTGAATCAGATACGATGCAGTTGTTGCTGCTGCGCCATGTAGTCCCACTTGTATTGATCCAACACTGAATCGTTGGTGCTGTGAGAAAAAAGGGGGGGGGGACAATCAGAGAGCATAAAAGCAATGAAACTGAAGGTGCAACGCAGCTGCTGCTCCTGCTGAGCCATGTAGTCCCGCTTGTATCGTTGGTGCTGCGAGAAAACGGTGTGCGGAACAAACAGAGAGCAACAAATTCATGGAACTGATCGAGTTAAGATGCAGTTGCAGCTGCTTAGAACAAACGCCCTCTCCACACGTCCCATCTCACATGCCCTGCTGGCTTACTGTTGGTGCAGGAATTGATCGAGTTCAGTAACGAGTGCCCAGCACGCCCACACAATGGAGAACACACGCCCTCTCCACACGCCTCTTGCATGCACCCAGTCAGCACACCCCCTACTTGCTTACTATTGCTGCAGGCATTGATTGAGCTCCGTGGCATGTGCCCGGCACGCCCAGAAAATGGAGAACACACACCCTCTCCACTTTCTCTCTCTCACACTCCTTGTTTTCTTACTATTGGTGCAGGCATTGATTGAGCTCCGTGGCGTGTGCCCGGCACGCCCACACGATGGAGAACACACGCCCACGCACACAGTCAGCATATGCCTCAATCTCCCGCGCACACTCCTTGAGCGCTCGCTCCTTCATCTTGCTCCGCAGAGCTGCAGTGCAGGGAACAAGAGAGGTGATGAGAGGGAGAGAGGGCGGTAAGGATGTAGATAGAATTTGGATCAAGTCAGCAGTCAGCATATGTCTCAATCTCCCGCGCACACTCCTTGAGCGCTCGCTCCTTCATCTTGCTTCGCAGGGCTGTGGAGAACAAGGGAGGTGATGCGAGTGTGAGTGGAGTAACTTTTGACTCCTCTCAAAAGTGGTCACACCTAACTCTTCAATAAAGTGAGTGCAATGTGAGGCTACGAAGTGAGAGTGCAGAGTAAACAGGAATGAGACTGTGGAGTAAGTGTGGATTGTCTATGGCGGGTGGAACTACAACCGTAGGATTCCAACAGCATTTACATTAAATCCTACCGTCATTAACAAATCCGATCATTATCCACTACCCTCTAACCTTCCAAACTGCTTCCAAGTCCTAAATCCACCTTACTTGTTTCAAAATCCTTACGACCTACGCCTTATTACCAATCCGAGGTTTCCAACTGTGTACCTTCCTCGACCTTCTTCTGGGTCAGCACTTCACTATCCCTCCGTGATAAAAGTTGTATTTTGAGACGTCTCAAAATACAACTTTTATCACGTAACTGCGTACCTTCCTCGACCTTCTTCTGGGTCCGCACTTCACTATCCCTCCCTGTTCGCATCATCTTGCCACCCCTCCGTTACTGCCGGAACCGATACAGTCACCTTCCTGGTTGACTCCCCGCACGACAGATTAGAGCTGCTCGAAGTAGTCACGAGGAATGCTGAACGATAGTCAACTATACTTTTAACGGAATTGTGCCAGCCGTCCTGAGTCTCACTACCCACTTTGCGACATCGCAAATTCCACGAAGGACCGCAATAACGGCGAGTACAAACGCAGGGGAGTGAGGTGCGATAACCCTCTGGTTGCGCTAGGAAAAGGGTCGACTGGTTGAGAAAACTGGCGGATCAACTAGTCTCTGCGCCGCAGATCGCGCATTCATCATAAACACGGTATTCTGGGCCCTGAGGCTTAGGCACAGAGCATGAGCTTTGAGCAGGCTATAACGGGTACAGTGCAAAATTTTGTGTTATGGGACTCGCATCTACGCTGCGGGTGGAAATTGCGACAGCTTGGAACGAGATTCCACGGAGGCCAAGGTTGTTACAAGCAAGGAATAAAACATCTGTGCTGTTATAAAAGGTGCTGTGCGTTCAAGAGCTTTTTGTTTAGCAATGAGAACGGTGAAGGATTATTTGTGAGGCAGAACGAAGGATGAACCTGATTACTCGGAATAGGACGTTGACTCTGAGTGGGATGCTGGAGCATGGTCGATATAATAAAAAGGGATCAGAGGCGTAAAAAATGTGAACACATATCAATATATTAGAATCATTAGTCATTCTGCATCACAGCCATACAATAACAGATGAATAGAAATAAGGATTAGCAGGCTACCTATGTGAAGATACATACACAGCTCTAGTTGAGTTTATATGCTCCCCTACCTTCTCTCGTATGCAAATGCCTCCCAGCCATATGAATTATGAGGCTCAGGAGAATGCCATGTTCTGTCAGGTCCCATCCGTCCAGTCACCATGTTTACAGGAGAGTTGCCATGCGATCCCATGGAAAAAGAGAGCTCCTTAGCACCTTGGCTCTTGGACCTCTGGTGAACCAGTGACCTAGGCTTCTGCTGCTGACGTGGAGCCCTAGAGGGAACAGGAGGTGTGTCAGAAAATCCCACGTGGTTGGCTGGCTGTTGGTGCCTGATGTTGTTATAATGAGGGGACCAGGTAGGTTCGGGCCCTGCGGGATTCGAACCCGCGACTGCACGATTCGTCAGCCTAGGGCTTGAAACGTGGATCTTCTGAAGTTCGCCTGGCGAAAGCATTGCCCAATCTTCCTCGCCTGAGCGACGTCGCGGAATGCCAGAGCTCGGGGCGACGCTGTTCCGTCGACGATGCTGCGGGGGCAAAGACGCGGCCGCAGGAACCCGGTAACCAAGTTCTGGCGACTTTGTGTACTTCTCTTGGGCTGAACAATCGCGAAGCGGTACGAACTCATCGGTAAAACTTTCGACATCTACATTAGCCCTCCGCGAATAAGTAGCGAAAGTATACTGTGGGGAACGTTCAACAGGGGAATATTTTCCGGCGGGGACGGGACAGTCGGAGAAGCTCTGCCAGCGCCGATGCGTCCGCGCCCCCCGCGACCCTCGATTCGGCGGGTAAAACCCTTGCTCTTTCGCAGCACCTCCACCGTTTCGCGCAGAAGTTGCGGAAGTATGTGCAGATATAGCTGCGGCCGCGGCAGCGGCGGAGGCAGCAGCTGCGGCGGCTGCTGCTGCTGCTGCGGCAGGGTTGATTATTTTCGCAACGTATTGCTGAATAAACGCCTCGTCGTCGTCCGATTCGTCGTCGTCGTAGGTGACGTTACTAACGGCGCTTCCAACCGAGCCAGATCGCCCCATTCTGGAGGAAGTCGACGTTGCACGAGGCGGAAACCCTTTGCAAACGGGCGACCTCGGCGGAAGTGGTGACGTTGGAACATCCGCCCACCTTTCCCCGGAAAAATCGAAGCGTACGTCACGGGGGCTTGGGCTTGGACTAGGGCACCATGAATCTTCTATTTGATTATTGTAGTTTAAATAGTCGCCGTCGGATCCGACTGTGCATCGACGGACGAGCGGAGGTACCGTCATCCCTGGCTTTTTCCACGTGGCGTGCGCCGTGCTTGCCACGTGCAGTGGTTGAGCGGCTGCGGAGACGTCAGGGGAGGTAATCATTACGCGGCGATTTGCGCCGTCGGGTGTAGTAGTAGTACCTGCGACGCTGGCAGTGGACGGCGCCGCTCGAAAGTCGCTGTAATCGTATCCAGCTTTCGGCGACGTTTCGACGACGGACATTGATGGGGAACGGCGATGCATTCGTTGCTGGCGATGCATTGCGGCTGGACGAACGACAGAATCGTGATTCTGCTGAAGGTGGCGTTGAGTTGCTGGCAGCGTTAGGTCAGCCGGCGATATCCAGGAGCCGTTATTTGAGATATGTGCGGCAGCAGATGCTGGGAGTTGATGCTGCTGGAACTGCGAGAGGTATGGCGGATAACTGCTGTCTCCTCGGTGTATGCAATCAGTAGTCATGTTTAGTGTAAGGAATGAGGGAAAGTGGCAGCGAAAGTTGGATATGACAAATCACTGAGGACGGGTTGGGTTGGGGAGTTCAAGGTAAAACACAAACCAGCACGGAGATGGAGGAGGGCAACGCGGATGAGCTTGAACAGAAGACCACACCACACCAATTCCAGCCCAGCCAACCACAACGTATGAATGCCGCGTGACTTCGTGTTCTTGTTCTCACCACCCAACGAATCAGTCTGGTGTTCGTAGTTGGCCAAGAACTTGGTGAAAATGCTGCCTAGTTGCAAAAGGGGCATTTGCATTCGCACACCAATTTTTTCGTCTGGTCGAAACGTGGTTCTGATCTGTGTACACTATCTTGAAGTGAAGCGAAGGAAACGATTCCAAAATTAGGAATCATAGAAGCGGTGAAAAGAAGCTGTATGAAAGTCGGCCTCGCGGAGATCCATGCAAATAGGACATTAAACTCATGCAAAAAACGTTTACAGTGATACCCTTCATATTGTAGGGAATTTATTTGCTAGACACACAAACTAGGGAATATATTTGCTAGACACCCGAAGTTCGAGAACCATAGACCGCGAACTCGTGCACCTCTTAGTGAGTAACGACAACGCGACTGAAACTGAGGTGCGTGTGAGAAGCGGCAAAATTGCGCGACGCGCCAGCGCGCGAACTTCTCTCAATCCTATCGACCAAGCCCGCACCGCAGGTAGGACGACCAAACATCGACTTACATAAGGCAGCCCAACAGATATTAAGTACATAATATATTCGAGGAAAATTCTCTTATGAGCTGTACTTCTGCTCTATTACACCCTATATCAAAGGTATTCGACATAGTTGTCCAGATATTTAGTGCTCATCCAACTACCACTCCGGCTCATTTAATAGTATGCAATTTGAAGCACTTAGATTTGGTTCCAGGCCCAATTTGCGAGTCGGTTTTTAAGGCATTTTAGTACAAGAACCCGCAACTATCACGATACCATGCCTAAAGAGTGCGGACCCTCAACCAGGGCTGTTGCTACAAGTGCCAAGGTCCCTGGTTGGTTTCCAGGTCAGCACGTCCGCCCCAAGTGCTGGATTCGTAAGGTGCTGGTTTCGGGATAAACCCATATTTCAAGTCTAAGTCACGGGGTTAGCCATTTTCCCTCCAAACTGACTTCCTTCCCCCCTCCTCCTCTCTTCCCCAGCTTCCAACTGGGCCTCCGAGTTCTCGGTTGGGGGTCAACTCTTCCCAGAGCCAGTTTCAATAAACTCTGTGTTATAGAATCGGAGCCTGAAGTGTTGGGTCTTTCTGTGGAATCTAATAAACTTTTGTTTTTATGTTCGCTAACTGCCTTACGATTCTGTTGGTCGAGCATGGAATTAGTGTATTTGTACTAGGGAAAGGTGAGCCGGAACACACAAGTACCGGTACAAAAAGGGTCCCAGTACTTCAAGCTTCCAATGTTGGACGTTCTTTGTATGCCACCTCTTGCTAAGAGGATTCAATGTGGCATTTTTTTGGCAAGCGCGTAATAATCATTACGGAATGGGCAGTGCAACCAGGGGTGAGAACCTGTCGTAGCTAAAGTGCATTTCGATTTATAGCCCTGATTCTAAGTTTGGGCCCAACCTGAACGCATAAAGCCCTTGGTTAGGTCCCAAACCGAAAATTAAAGGGGATTTTGGGGCTCCTCAGCCTTCCAAGTTTCTGACCCCAGGCCAATCGACAGGCCTGCCCTCAACCCCACGACTGTGCAACCCTCTGTTACTGTATCAGGGAGTTAGCCGGCCGTCAGGCCTTCGACGGTCCGATGTCTCAAGAAATCAGCCGACCGACAAGCCATCGACGGTCCCGTTTGGCCGGTCTGACGGACGGCGGAAGCATCAGTACAGTTGATAGCCCACAGGTGGACAAACCAAGAGAATGAAACAACATTTTCAAATCATCCAACGACGAAAGTCAAGAACAGGCTGAAGTGAAGAAACTGCCAAAAAGAGACGGGTCGTGCCGCGTTTGTCAGATGAAGATTGGTGGCGAGGCGACTGACCTTTTGGTGGAACATCATTGGTCCACTTTCAGATTTAGTGAAACATTTGAGAACCGAACCGTCTTACGGAGGAACCATGACCTGAACAATGCTAGGTAACATATTAGTCGCGATAGTTACAACATAATACCTACATTAGTGAAACACAACTTCCTGTAATATCATATCCAACTGAAAACATGGGAATTACAATGTAGTTATTTCAACTTATATCTGAATGTATAACAATATCAAATACCCATAAATCTCCTCTCCTCTTGCTCCTAGGAAAACTACTTGTGCAAAATTAGTCAATCCCTTTCTGAAATAAATTCCACATCTGAGCTGAAGCTCACGCGCCGTAACACCCGTGTTTCGCAAACCATTAGCGACGACCCAATTCCGTCATCGTGAGAGCGCCTGCGCTGGAGGCGATCGTCACCTGTCGTCAGCGACCCCCCTCGAGCGAATGGCGAATTGCAGGTTACATCTGCGTTTGAAAGAAAGTCCGAGGTTGGGGCAACTTTCTCTGACCTTCCAGTCACGGCAGGAGGAGCTAGCGCAATGGGCACTTTGTTCATGGCGGCTGATTGGTTGATCTGAGGCACCTTGCCAGGCAAGCGGAAAGGCAATGTACTCCCTCTATTGGTCACGGTGCTATGGTTTTTCATCGACGGTGCAGATTGCGTCGACGTAGACCTTGACGGCGTCGGTGCTCCAGCGTCGGTAGCTTGCGTTAGGTTGCCGCGCGCCGAGCTTTGTCCGAAGATCGTGCGGCAGATGCGGGATGACATTGGCGAACGAGCCAGCGGATTACGATCTCGTGAAAACCGTGACGCTGACGAAGCTGTTGGCGAAGACGTGGGCGACAGGGCGACATGCGATGATCCAATCTTTGCCCCACTGCTACTGTGAGTCACTCCATTAGTAGGGCTAGCAGCGGTGGCAATGCTTCTGTTGGAAGAAGTACTAGACGTCGTAACGAGTTTTTCCAGCGCGTTCAGCGCACGCGCGGCCTCCGCGCGATGCCGCCTGGCGTTCCCGTACAGCTCGACGAACTCGTCATCTGAGTCCGCGTCGGCATCCACGTTAGTAGCTGTGAGCTGCGGTGTCGAAAATGTAGATTTGCGGCCGTAGCTTGTAACGTCCTTAGGGTTGGACGAGAGTGAGAGGGTTGGACGGCCGACTGGGATTCTTCGCCCGACGATGTCGCCCTGAGATCGGGGCGATGGTGCGACGAGAATTGGCGGTTCGGAGACGAAAGATCTCCTGCTGTTTCGAGGAAACGCCGCCGCGTTATTCGACGGTTGAGCGATTGAAAACGCGCCTCCGTCCGTGGCGAGTGTTTGGAATCCGGGATTTTTAAGCAGGTCGAAGGACTCCACCTCAGCTGGTCCGTCGAAGTCAATTGGTTGATTGCCCGACCACGAGCTGCGTCTGACGTGGCGACCGCGGCGCGGAGGAGCCGCTTTGCTATTTGTAACGGGTGGAGGCGTGGACGCCTTGGTTCTAATCTCTGGGACGGTCTCTGTAGGAGAGAAAGGCAGAGCGGAAGGTGCGGAGACCGGTCCAGGGGAATAATTATAGGGTATGGAGCCACTAGCGCCGTTAGCGACAAAGGGATCTTGAATTGGGGATGGCGTCTGGGCGTACGTGTCGGGGATGATTAAATCGGGGACGAAGTCCGTCATGGAGCAGGAGCGTCTGTGGCGGCGCGGCTGTAGATTCTGTTGCGGCTGTGGCTGGGGAAGGCGGTATTCAGTGTCAGTAAATGGATTGATTGATTGCTGTTTGTAGTTGCTGTTGCGAACGGGATTGTAACGAGGGCTGGCCGTTGGTATTCTGTCCTGCTGACTTTGCTGCTGAGGGTGACCCATCAGATTGCGCTGCTGCGAGGTGTTGAGAAGGTTGTTGCTGCTAGAAGAAGTATGAATGGTTTGTAGAGTTGGTTGATGCCCTGCGGTCGCTCGCCTACTGGCAACTTGTGCTGCCATAGTGTGAAATCCAGAGCGAAGGGAGAAATGAGTTCAGCCTGAAGAGAAGGCCAAGACGGAGGACTAAGTTCGTTACGGAAGAGAAAATAAGAAATGCGGCGAGGGGAGTCTGGAGAGAACGAGTCAGGCGTCGTGAGTGAGCAAATTCTTTAGCCGAAGGACTACAAATCAATGTTGTGTGGAAGCTGGTGAATTGTTTGAAACCAGATGAAGAAGCTGCAGTGCGAAGGGACAACTACAGTTGCAGCCAGAAAAATGAGGGAGTGGTGAGGAACGGATGCCTGTTGTACCCGTACGGCACAACAGAAACGCGCTGCGGAATCTGTGACTCGCAGCTTCATCATTTCCACAGGCTGGTTCGCTCAGCACTCCTCCTGGATCATGGATTTCTTCGATAGCGCATCGCGATCCATCAAAGAGATTGACGCCGTATCTTACGCGCACTTGATTGGGCCTCGTTGGCGCTTTCTGTTCATGTCTGTCAGTTGACGATCTTGCAGTCACGTCATCGTCCAGTCAGAGGCCTAAGGTCTCGCCTCTACTCTATTGGCTTCACACGGCATTGGGTTCTACAGTTTGTAAGTGGAAGTCTGATGCTTCTGTGGTTTGCTCCCGTGCTGTTGTGCTTGTGCTGTACCGCAGATCACGGGGTGGAATGGAAGCTTCATTTTCACACATGCTGGGCACAGCTCGCATAGAACTAGCACACGCACAAACAGCTGGCAATAGCAGGGACCAGAGGGGGGAAAGGCTAGCCACAGTGCAACGCATATGCAATGTTGATTGATTGGCATCAGGGTCGTATTTATCCTGGGTTGGAATAGGTTTTGTATGTTCTAGATACAAAAAGGGTGATAACAGTGCGGTTGCGGATCGATACTGGCAATCGATGGACGCTTGTTTATACCACGGTCGATTGACAATATCGGTTTCGTGGGGACTTGGTTTGACCTTCATGTGGCATCAAGCCATTGTTCGTTGCCCCCAGCAAGGAAGTTGGTGTGTGCTGAAAAATCGCCAACTGTCAACTCATCGTCCAAAGCTGCACAAATATCGACGGCTAGCCCAAACGGGCTGGAGCTTCGGTGACGTGGAATGACTTGTGACCTCTGAGTAGTGAACCGCAAGTGCGGGAGGGGCGATCGGGCCGATCGGGCCGGGAATGGAGTGGTGGAGGGAGGTGTACTTCCAGATGACCTGTCAGCCCCTACGCAGCATCATTCAATGAGGTGCGCGCGCGGATCGAGAACCACGTACTCCACGTAGGACAGGTGTAGCAAGCCTCAACGAGCACGTGAAATGCTGATTTCAAAATGCTGGTTGCGTTGCTGGTTACACAAGAAACGACGGCCTCACCGCCGGGGGGGCGGACATCATGAGTTTGCTACTGTATGGTGTCATTGGTGGATACCGGGCCTGATGTCATGGAAGGTTGTCCCTGACGCCCGGCCCGCGATTTGTGGATGCGTTCATGATGTCAAGCACGTGACAATGACAAGGAAGGTGCATCCATCCGCGAAGATAAAACTGGTACAATCAATCAGGCCCAGTATATAATGTATAAAACTGTTATTTCATATCTTACCTTACGTTCAAGAGGTAATTGGAGATATGACGGGTTCCATCACAGTAGAAAGCGACAGAGATGGAGAAGACAGGCTAACATCACCAATTACGCCACCTTGGTGCAAATGCACCCCAAGGCACAACAGCAAGACAGCATCCCACAATGCGAACCTCCCCTGTTTGGATAGCACAAAGGACAAAGGAAGGTGGAGAACGAGGCCACTGAATTGAATCTAGAATTAAAATCTTACATTTGTTACAAGGCAGTGTGCCACATGCCATGTGACAAAGGTGCGAACTAAATATGAAAATTGATGAAGAGAATAACACACCTGTAGACAGAAGGACGGCTGGCCTTCCCAGAAAGGGACAAAAACTGTGTTGGGCTGAGTGCAGGGCCTATTTTTGGATTTTAGGTACTCTGATTTCCAGAGTAGTTTTTTTTCCCAACTCTGAAATCTAGGGTTGTTCCTGCGCCTTACTCTGATTTGTCAGAGTAACCCTATACTTTCAAAAAAAAACCCAGGCACGTCAGAGTAATATTTTTCTCTACTCTGATGTTAGTTAAGTTTGGTGTACCATGACCTTAATAGGTTTTTGTTACGCCTTTTGTACTTGCATTTCCGCGTCGCCCACGTTTCCCCCCTCACTGCGATGTTTCAGAATGAGGTGTTGGCGGCACCGATAATCTGACTAAGGGCGTGTCCGAAGTGAAACGTCAACAGATGTCGCTGGATGTCGGTAAATGTCATCCCTCGGATCGACAGTTCCAACCGTCAGGATTTACCGACATCCCCAAACGGATGTCCACGGATGTCGACGTTTCACTTCGGACACCCCCAAAGAGCGTGTCTGAAGTGAAATGTCGACGGATGTACAGTTTCGTCGGGGAATGCTGGCGAATCTCAACCCTCGGATTGAGCGTTCCGACCGTCAGGATTCCTCGACGTCCCTCAAAGTTTCGTCGGGAAACGTCGACGTTCACTTCAGACATAAAGAGAGAGGGGACTGGCTGGCATCGTGCGCTGGTTGGGAAAGTTGTCAAACTACGGTAGCCAATCAGTGCTCATATTGCCGCCAACACACGACAAAAATCAGGAGAATGATCTCGACGATTCGGGGAAAACCCGCTAAACGCAGGGGGAGGTGGGGAGGGGAGGGGGGCGGGGGAGGGGGGGCCGGCAGGTATTCCCTATACAGAGTAAATTCGGTCCCCGAAAAAAAAACCCAGAGGCTTCAGAGTAAACTACAGCATAACTCTGACAAATCAGAGAAATCGGAAGTCCCAAAAAAATTACCCAGCGGGTACAGAGTTACTTTCAAAAATGACTCTGATTTTCAGAGAAACAGAGTAATTTACTCTGAAAACGTGAGGCCTGGCTGAGTGCCCCTTAGGATCTTTGGTAGGGTTAAACTCTGGGTAGAGTGATGTAGTAGCGGAAGCGTTTAAATGAAGTCCTTGAACCACCTTGCGCTGGTATGTGAGGGCAAAGTAAGTTGATTAAAACAAGCAAGTACAAAGGTTTATATAAGAGTACAAAGAATACGAAGAGATATAATTAAAATGTTTTACTGTTGCGGTTCGATACAGTGCGACTCGGGCAACTGCTCAATGTCGAGTCAGTTGTGTGTCCTTGCTGTCGCGCTGCATTTGTCAAGTCAAAGGTCGCTGACCTTTGACTTTCGCGTAACCTCCAGCGGTTACTTCAACCTCCGAGGGTTGACTCGCTGGTGCCTCGATATGCTCTGCTTCGCTTGTGCCTTGGTGTTTCGACACGACAGAGGCGCTTAAGATTGTTTGTTCCCAACAAACTGGAGGTGCATCCCTTGTTATCACAACCACGTCTGCGCCAGGTGGCACCCTAGCATTGGCTGGTGGGATTGACCCCACAATGGCTGTGAACCTGCCGCCCAGAAGGGCGGAGGGTGACTGAGAGGAGGAAGAAGCCGAAAGTGGCAAGAGGCGGTCACGGGGAAGAGAGCCGCCCACGACGAGGGGATTTTGGGCGGCGAAGCTGGCAGCTGTGGCTGGCACTGTAGCAGCAGCTGCGGAGACCTGTTGTTGCTGCTGTGGAAGGGGAGATTGCAGGAATTCGTCCAGCCAATTGGGATGCGACAGGTGTGCAGCGAAGAGATAGAGAAGCAGATGAGCATCAGTGGGGAGGTCAGAAGTCCACGGCACGAGGAACGCTCCCTCTGGAGCAGCTTGTAACGAGTATGAAACAGAGGAGGGCTGATAGGCGGAGAAAGAGGAGGGGGATGATGGAGCAGGCGAGCTTGGGGCAGGGGAAAGAGCTTCAGAGGGAAAGGAGGAGAAGAGGGAATGGTGTGTAGGGGTGGCAGAAGCAGTGGTGCTGCTGGGTATGGCAGAGGCGGGGGAGGAGGTGGTGGTGGTGGTGGGGGTGCGGGTGGTGTCCCGTGTTAGGAAGCTTCCTCCTGCTGACCATTGGAAGCAGCGCAGACAGGACCCAGCTGCTAGGGCTGGGAAAGATAGACGAAGAGAGAGAGAGGGAATGGGGAAGATGTACTAGCAACGGATGATATGAGAGTGGGCGAATGAACAAACCGGAAAATAGCACAAGGAAGCAAAGGTGTTATGCTCAAGAGGAGACTTAGAGGGAGATATGCCAAGGTGAAGGAGGAATAACTTTTGAGGTAAAGGAGGGTCAACCCCCCCCTGCCATCTGTCACGCTACCTTTGATCCGTTGAGTGCTGTACTCCAATGGCATGCTGCCACGTGGCAGCAGCCCCTTGGCCCAGTGCCCTCTAAGGACGTCCCTAAGATGCTCATAGTCCGCTATGGCTGCCAGAAGGTTCCTCGCAGCTTCCTTCTGTGCCTCCAGCTGCTGCTGTTGTTGCTGCTGCTGAGGCTGGTGTAGGCCGAATATGGACCCTGCAGGTGGCGCTGGTGAGAAGGAGGGGAAGTGAGGAAGTAGAGGAACAAAGGCCCTCAGTAGAGATAGATTGAGCTGCCTTGGAACATGGCTGGTGCAGGCCGAAGATGGACCCTGCAGAGGGGGCTGGTTAGAAATAGGGGAAACTGGGAAGTAGAAGCAGTAAGGAGAAGCAAACATCCTCAAAAGGGGAGTGGGAGATAGCTTGGGCTGGCTTGGAACGTGGCTGGAGCAGGCCGAATACGGACCCAGCAGGAGGGGCTGGCAAGGAATAGAGGGGACGAAGGGAAGAAGGCCAGAAGAGGTGACGACGAAATGTAGGGGAGCAAAGGAGAAGCAAACATTTGAAAGCAAACAAGCCTATCACCCGATTGAAAGCAAACAAGCCTATCACCCGATTGAAAGCAAACAAGCCTATCACCCGATTGAAAGCAAACAAGCCTATCACCCGATTGAAAGAAAACAAGCCTATCACCCGATTGAAAGCAAACAAGCCTATCACCCGATTGAAAGCAAACAAGCCTATCACCCGATTGAAAGAAAACAAGCCTATCACCCGATTGAAAGCAAACAAGCCTATCACCCGATTGAAAGCAAACAAGCCTATCACCCGATTGAAAGCAAACAAGCCTATCACCCGATTGAAAGCAAACAAGCCTATCACCCGATTGAAAGCAAACAAGCATATCACCCGATTGAAAGCAAACAAGCCTATCACCCGATTGAAAGCAAACAAGCCTATCACCCGATTGAAAGCAAACAAGCCTATCACCCGATTGAAAGAAAACAAGCCTATCACCCGATTGAAAGCAAACAAGCCTATCACCCGATTGAAAGCAAACAAGCCTATCACCCGATTGAAAGCAAACAAGCCTATCACCCGATTGAAAGCAAACAAGCCTATCACCCGATTGAAAGCAAACAAGCCTATCACCCGATTGAAAGCAAACAAGCCTATCACCCGATTGAAAGCAAACAAGCCTATCACCCGATTGAAAGCAAACAAGCCTATCACCCGATTGAAAGCAAACAAGCATATCACCCGATTGAAAGCAAACAAGCCTATCACCCGATTGAAAGCAAACAAGCCTATCACCCGATTGAAAGCAAACAAGCCTATCACCCGATTGAAAGAAAACAAGCCTATCACCCGATTGAAAGCAAACAAGCCTATCACCCGATTGAAAGCAAACAAGCCTATCACCCGATTGAAAGCAAACAAGCCTATCACCCGATTGAAAGCAAACAAGCCTATCACCCGATTGAAAGCAAACAAGCCTATCACCCGATTGAAAGCAAACAAGCATATTACCCGATTGAAAGCAAACAAGCCTATCACCCGATTGAAAGCAAACAAGCCTATCACCCGATTGAAAGCAAACAAGCCTATCACCCGATTGAAAGCAAAGGAGTAGCAGACGTGTCAATCCGGACAAGGTGACTTGTGAGGGTGAAGTGGTGTACGTTTGTTTTAGGTGCCTCACAAAGCCAACATACCTATATCACCCTGTAGAAGGTGTCATGTCTCTGTTGGGATAAGATGACTTGTGAGTGTGAGGTTTGAGACGTCGTGACTCGTAACACTCGCACGTGCACCTGCTCCATCACACCTGTTCCTACCACCACACCTGCTCTTACTCTCAAGTGTCCTCAGCAGGTGCTGCAGCTAGAGGGAGCACGGCCGGATTTTGAGGCACATAAAAAAGCTCAAAAGTTTTGAGGCTCCTCAAAAGACACCTCAAATCTTATGCGCAAGTGTCTTCAGCAGGTGCTGCAAGTGGGGGGGGGAACACTGGCAAATTTTTGAGTCGACTCAAAAATCGCCTCATCTCACTGGCAAATTTTTGAGTCGACTCAAAAATCGTCTCATCTCACTGGCAAATTTCTTCCCAGCCCCCATCATTCCGTGCATCACCTCCCCACTCCCTGCCCTTCCCCCCAACCTTATACCACCCTCACCAACCCACCATGAACCACCCTCCTCATCACCAACTTAACCCACCCCCACCCCCACCCATGCCCAGCCACCCTCACTCATCCCCACCACACCGCACCTTGCTTGGCGCCGCCTCAGTCTTCTTCACTAGCGCCTTCAGCAGGTGCTGCAAAAAACCACTGGCGAATTCCTTCCTACCAGCCCCATCCCACCCCCGTTGCTCCATGCACCATCCCCACCCAGGCTCATCCAGCCTCACCCACTCTCCTCTCCTGCACCCACCTTCCTCCTCATGCCACCCACCCTCACCCATTCCCATCCTCATTCACTCACGTTCACCAACCTCCACCCATCCCCACCGCACCGCACCTTGCTAGGCGCCGCCTCGATCTTCTTCACCAGCGCCTTCAGCAGGTGCTGTGAAAACCACTGGCGAATCCCATCGCGCCACGAGTCCCTCCACTGCAGCACCCCCAGGCTCTTAAAGCCCTCCTCCTCCTCCTCGGGCAACATGGGCTTTAATCTCTCCACCTCTCCCTTTTTCCCCATTATGGCGGCTCGAGAGGGGCTAGGCGTTAACCTAGGGTGGACTAAGAGGGGAGAGGATGGGGCGTTGTCCGATGTGACTGCATCCAATGTGACTGTATCGAAGGGAAGGGAGTAGCGAGGGAAGGTGAAGGAGGGATTATAGAGGTCTAGGTGGCCTGTGGAGGGAGGAGGTGTGGAGAGAGAAGAAGGGAGGGTGTAACGTTGAGGGGTGGTTAAGAACGGTGCAGTGGCGTCCATGTGTGTGTGCCGGTGGGAAGGGGTGGAGAACGGTGGTGGAGAGGAGGACCGGAGAGGGGAAGCGGGGGAAAAGGAGGAAGAGGGGAGGGGAGAAGCAGAGGTTCCTGGGGAGGAGGAGCGGGGGATATTGGGAGTGGTGGGGACGAGGGAATCGGCAAGGGTACGTGGGGAGATAGGAGGAAGGAGGTCAAAATATTCTGGTTGAAACTTATAATAGCTCGTCGGATAAGAGGCAGAGTAATCCCCTCCTCTGTCTCCTGCAGCTCCTCCTCCTCCTCTTGCTGCTGCTGCTGCTCCTTCGGCTGCTCTACTTCTTCCACCCACAATACCCCTTCCATCTCCTCCCTCTGCTCCTGCTCCCCCACCCATTCCCTCCCCATCCGCAGAACCAGCAGCAGCAGCAGCTGCTGCTTCTGCCAGTTTACCATCTACGTTCATCAGCAGCTGTTGCAACTCTTCCTTTGTTTCCACCTGCTTTCTCCGGCTTCCCAGGGGCAAGGGAAGCGATTGAGCGAGAGAGATAGCGTGGGTGGGATGCAGGGAAGGGTGGAGTGAGTGAGAAAGTGAGGAGGAGGAGAGTAGGGAGTGGGAGTGGTGGGGGAGGGCTGGGAGGGAGGAAGGGGCAATGGGTGTGGTAGCAGCAGTTGTTGCTTCTGGTGTGGGTTGGTGAGAGAAAAGAGGGTGTGAGAGAGAAGAGTGAGAAAGGGGGGTGTGGGAAGGGTAGTGGAGAGTAGAAGGGGTAGGAGAGAGTGAGGGCTGGTTAGGAAGGGAATAGGCTTGATTTGGCTCCTGCAGCAACTGCTGCTGCTGTTGTTGATACTGCTGCTGCTGATACAGCTGCTGCTGGTACTGCTGTTGCTGTTGCAGCTGCTGCTGCTTATAGTGTTGGGTCTGAGGCTGCTTATAGAGAGTACTGTAAAAGTTTGCAAATGGACGTTGTCTCTGGGGGTACAGCGGGAAAGTGGGGAAAGGGGAGGAGGAGGCAGGTCCCGGGGAGGGAGACGGGGAGGGGAGAGGCGAGGACGGTGTGGGAGTGTGGAGGGATGTGCCAGGGGTCGAAGGGTGATTGACCGTTCGTTGAGGGACGAGGGGAGAAGCAAAGAAGGACTGATGGTTTTGTTGCTGCTGCTGCTGCTGCTGCTGCTGGTGCTGCTCCAGCTGCTGTTGCTGGTTGTGGTTTAAAGGATACGGAGAGGAGGTGAAGGGGGAATCAGAGAGCGGAAACGAGCCGGAAGACGAGGAGGAAAGAGGGGGTTTCATTGGGTTGGTGACTCGAGCGAAGATGATTTGAGCGAGAGAGAGGAGGGAGAGGAGGAGGAGGACTGAGAGGGAGACTTGCAAGGAGGAGAGGAGGATTCCTGCTGCGTCACCACTCATGCCTGCATCCACTAGCCAGTCCCACACCTGCTGCTCCCTGCACAGGGGAGTACAAGTAAAGTTTGATTAGAGCAAAGGAAAGGAGGGAGAGAGAGACGAAGCAGGACTGAGAGAGAGAGTTCCAATGCAACTCATGCCTGCATCCACCAGCCAGTCACACACCTGCTGCTCCCTGCACACAACATTCGGGTACAAGGCAGGTAAGTGGAGTGGAGTAGAATCTAGCCAATGTTTGTCACGGTCGAAGGCCTACAGACGACAATGGAGGAGCCTTTGAGAATTCTCAAAGGCAAAACCAATCTAGCCAATGTTTGTCATCCACAGTTGGGGGCCTACAGAAGACAAAAGAGGAGGAGAGGGATTGAGGGAGAGAGATATTTGCAGGAAATCAGGTTAAAAGAGGCTCGAGATAGAAGGCCAACAGATTACAATGGAGCATTAGAGGTTCGTCAAGTATGAGTTGAGGTGTAGGAAGTTTTGATCGATTCTCCTGCTGCTGGCATTGAAGCGTCTCAATGTTTCAAAAGCGAGTGGGAACAACAGAATGTCCAGTCTGTCGCCTCCCCTCGTGTATCGTCGATTCAAAACAAACCATTACCTCGGTCGCGTCGCAGCCAATAGGAGCCCAGCGGTCACCGCGATTCCCGCCGCAACAGTCGCATCCGTCAGCGTCGGCATGCCGCGCTGCACTTCGAGCATCCGATCGATCAACGGATGGCGATACGTCTGAAACGCGCCAATCGCGGCGGCGCCAGCACTGGCGCCAGCGGATTCGCGGCGCCGGCGCCACCGCGGTCGACCGCTTCCGCTGATGACTCCGCCTCCCGCTGGTTTTTCCCGCGCTTCCCCAGCGGACGGCGGGTGTTCCCATGCAGAAGGCGGAACTGGTCGCGCGGGCGACGGGGATCCGCGGAGCAATGGCTGCGACAAGGTGCTGGGGAATGACGATCTCCGGCGAACAGCTGGCGACGACGTCGCCATGGCTGTCGCTTGGTGACGCTCGGTGTTTATTACGCCGAAAAGGAGGAGACTCTACTCAATGCGATATCAATGCGGAATTTAGCTATCAGCAGTCGCGAAACCAGCTAATGACCCAATAGCACAATTGCTGGAAGAATGGACACACACAACTAGCCGTTACAAACATTTGCTGCAAGCTTTTAAAGCCCGTGTCCCGCGTTTCTCAGCACATTTTTGTGATCAGGGTTTGGCGACCCTCTGACTGGTTTGATTCGTTGCTACAAAATGCAAATGCAGCCATCTCGTATAACGAGTATGGTGATGTTACAAGAATCTTGACAATGTGTACATCTCGCGCACCACCTCTCAATTCTTCTCTAGACAGCAACTCCTAAGATCTTTGTGGTTATTCAGGCTATCATTCAATGTGCACTGCAAACAGTTCAGTACACAACTGGTTGACCTTTCACTACAACAAATTCCCTAACGCACAAGCAAAAATTGCTATATTGCGATGCAGAGAATTAACCAGCTGCGTTATTCAGCTAGCCTCTGCTTCTCTGAACCCTCTCATTTGAAGCACTTGGCCTCCTGCAGCACAAGCCCGTCAATTTCATCGGGCTCCTCAAAGTATTGGCTAACACACTCCTTCTGGGCAGCATCAGAAAGGTCGACCTGCCAAGGGAACCCAGTAGACAAGAGGAACAGCAAAAAACAAAAAAAAACACAAAAAAACCTCACTTCAATCACCAGAAAGAGCTCCAACACATGCCGTTTGTCGAGTCAGTACCGCACCCCTACCTCCCTAACCCAATTGCACTTACACCCTGAATTGACCGTCCTGCCACTCCCTTTCTCGCTCTCCTACCATTCCTTGTTCTCACCTTGGTCCACTCGTAGAGCTCGCAGTCGTAGCACTCGTCCATCATAAACTGGTTTCCGGGGACACATACAGCACTGACCCTAGAATCTGAGTCTCTGGAAAGAGCACCAAGCCTCACCTTGGCCCACTTGTACAGCTTGCAGTCATAGCACACGTCCATCACAAACGGGCCCGCGTAGGGGCCCAGGATGCACATATTGGCGAAGGCGTAATTGCCTCACTACTGCACCCCTTAACCGTTCACCTCCCTCCACCATCCAGTCTGGCCCCTTGCCTGATACCCCACGTTTCGCCCAACAGGCCCCGCACTCTCCCAACGTCTCACACACCGCAATCACCTTTACGCCTGGGTTTCGACTCCCTAGAAAACTCCTAAAAAGTCTCACCTTGGTCCACTCGTAGAGCTCGCAGTCGTAGCACTCGTCCATCACAAACTGCGTCACGTCTAACCAGCAGTCACCTTAAAGCCCTGGTTCCGACTCCCTAGCAAGCCTCACCTTGGTCCACTCATACAGCTCGCAGTCGTAGCACTCGTCCATCACAAACTGCGGCACGTCGGCACCGCGGAAGAGCCACACGCCCTTGATCACAAACGGGCCGGCATCCGGGCCCAGGATGCACATCTTGGCGAAGGCGTACTTGCGTGCAAGGTCCATGCGCTGCAGGAAGCCCGACACCTTGTTCAGCGTCACGAACCGCACCGTGTTCTCCTCATTGTACTTGTAGTCACAGAACCACAGGGAATAGCCCTCAGGATCGTACATGTCCCAGAAGCCTGGGGGGAAGAGAGAGGGGGGGAGAGAGTTGTTGAGGGGAATGAGGGCGGGGGGGAGAGGAGGGAAAGGGGAGCAACGAGAGGGGAATGAAAACGGAAGTACGTGGAGTGAGGGGTGCGTGAATGAGCTGGTCAACATGTCCCTCCCCTTCACTCCTGGGCTCTAGTCTAGTAAACGAATCCTTGGCTTCTGTGATTATTTTCAGGTAACTTCCACAATCATTTTGATTGATTTAAGTAATCTCTCAATGAGCCCCTGAGAAAGGAAGAAGCTTTCCAACAAGACCATCGTTCCTTGCCCTCACACCCACACCACTCTCCGGTCGATGCACAATATCCCTATCCCATCTGCAACGCCTCATCGCCAACCCTTCAGTCCCAGCCCCTCGCATGTCCTTCTCACCCTAAAATGGTTATGGGGCTGTAAAGTCCTTCTCACCCTAAAATGGCGACTTCACAGAATTCCTTGGCCTTGATGTTGGAGTAGAGCCGCTTCCCCGTGCCCAACTCTCCCTGCCCTCACACGGTCACACCCCCTTCCCCTTCTGCAATCGATACTATCCAGCAACGCCCTTCCGCACCCCTCTCAACCCCTTCTCACCCTTGATGGCGACTTCACGGAAGTCCTTGGCCTTGGTGTTGGAGTAGAGCCGCTTCCACGCGTCCAGAACCATGGGGCTGGTCGGCAGCAGGTCCAGCGGGTTCTTCGCCTTGGGCTTCGGCGCCTCCGCCTCGCCGTCCGCAGCTGCCTCCGCGGGCTGTGCGGGAAGGGAAATGAGGGTGTGGGATGGAACTAGGGTGATGAGAAAGGGGAGCAGGGACCAGTGTTTAACGGGGTTACAAGCGCTATTTGCGAATTGGGGAAGCGGGTAAAGCAGGGCTTTCCTTGGGAACAGTAAGGGGGCTGAGGAGTGGGGGAAAGAGGGGGTGGGAGGGTAGGGGATGGGGGGGGGACCGTCAGCGCGCTGGGTGGGGATCAACCACTGACACGTGCAGTCACCATCTTGTGCCATCTGGAACAAACACCCGAATTGCCTAAAGCTCATGCTAGCCCCGACCATACCCTCCCAGAAACCGACAGCATACTCCCCCATCCATCCCAACCACCCCATCCATCCCAACCACTCCATCCCTCTCCACCCCACCCTCACCTACTTCACCCCTCTTCACCCCACTCTCACCCACTCTCACCCACTCTCACCCACTCTCACCCACTCTCACCCACTCCACCCCTCTCCACCCCTCTCCACCCCACTCCACCCCATTCCATTTCAATCAGGCATCCCACCTTGGCAGCAGTGGCGGGAGCGGCCTTGGGAGCAGCGGCGGCCTGGAGCTTTCCAATTGGCCCTTCGAACCACGTGGTCACCCCCGTGGGCTGCGCCTGCGCCTGCTGCACCTCCCCGATGACCTTCTTGACCTTGGGCTGGTTGATCAGCGTGTTCCAGTACCGGTCCACGTGGGGAAACTCCTTCATGAATTCGAGGGTAAACATCGTGATGTACCCGGTCCACAGCTGCGAAACGGCGACGATGTCAGCGAGGGTAACCCGGTTACCGACGAGGTAAGTGTTCGACTCAAGGTGCGAGTTGAGCGACGCGAGGCCGCGTTTGCACGCCTCCTTGGCCTTGTCCTCCACCTGATGCGGAGCAGGGGAAAGAGGGGGCGGTGCGGAGCAGGGTAAAGAGGGGGAAGGGGGAGGGGGGTGCGAAGCAAGGGAACGAGGGGGGAGATGGGGTGGAGAGAGGGAGCAGGAGAGTTAGTGCACGGTTCTTTAGCCTTGTACTCCACTTTATGTGGGTTGGAAAAAGGGAGGAAGGGGGGATAGGAAGGATGAGAGAGAAAAAGGCGGGGGAAGAGTGGGAAAAAAAGCAAGGGAGAAGAGCGGACGACGCATGGAAGAGCGATGGGAAAGAGCCGGCTCAATATGAATAAGCGAAAGAACTCAGATGCGAACGCTGGAACCCGAAATCCTCGGCGAAAAAGGGAAGGGGAGGGGTTAAAGAAAAGCACCAGGAAGGAAACGCGAGCATGGATGCGGGAGGAAAACCGCAAGGGCGAGATGCCTCTGAATCTTGGTTCCGTAGCCGTTTTAGTAGCAGAACCAGGTTCTCAAGACGTCTCAAAACAGTACCTCCTGGATCTTAGTGCCGTAACCGTAGAAGGGGGTGAAGTAACTTAAGGCGAAGGGAAGGCGGAAGGTCGAAAGTACCTCCTGGTTCTGAGTGCCGTAGCCGTAGTAGGGGGCGAACCACCTCCAGAGGTGCGCGTCGATCTCGTTGGTTGTGAAGTCGATCCATTGGTCGACCAACGCCTGATTGCGATGGAAACGTAAAATGAAAGAAATTTTGTAAAATGAAACGAACTTCGAGACTGTATAATAGGTTCAACAGTTTTTTTAGCTTTAACTAAAAAGGAATAAAAGAGTGAACAAAGAAACGGGGACAACTGAACGATGACAGGAAGGGGGGTGTTTGGTGGAGAGGGGGGGGAGGGGGCGGGGTGGGAGGAGTGGGGAGGGGGAAGTGAACGCAGAGACACAAAATCAAGGTTGTACGCTGCAATGCTACAAAATAGGCAAGTTCTCACCGTTTCGTAGACCGAGGTGCCCGTGAGTCCTTTATCGGATGACTTGGCGACTGCACCCAGAAACAAGGAAAGGGGTCTTTACAGAATGCCTCTTGGTCAATATACAACACCAAGGAAAACATACGTAACACTCACGGTGTTGAAAAATGCATTTTTGAGGTGCCTGGCGATCTAGCATAAGGAACCCGAAAGTGATCAAGGACTCAAAATTCGTACCGTATTTGGCAATGGCGTTGCTCTCAAAGATGGGACCGTCGGGGGTCTGCAGAACTGGCACCTGTATGGGGGGGAGGTCAGGAGAATGAAAGCGATCAGGAGGACAGGATAATGGAGGCGATCAGGGTTGGAGAAGCCTTTCGGAAATCTGAAACCAGATCGGATAAGATCGGACAAGATACTTCACTTATCAGGTCGACTGCGAACACTTGAAATGGACTGAGAAAGGACGCTGACAATAATGTTAACGAGGAACAGAATCAACGGAATCTGTACGCGGATATCAAGACCAAACTACATGTTTCAGGCGAGGAATATCTTGGTCTAGTTGATCTTGCCAAAACTTAACGACGAGCAGGAAAGGAGTGAAACAGCCTAATAGATCACGGATCAGTGCTCCTTGATAGCCAGACAGCACACCTTGTCAATTGGGTTCCAGGAAAATAAATCCTTCGTCTTGTCGGTCTTGCCGAACTCAGTGACAGGGTATGATACAGGCTACTCGAACACGGATCTGTTCCATCTGAAAGGCAGAAAACAAACCTTGCCGATGGGGTTCCAGGCGAGGAACTCCTTGGACTTGTTGGTCTTGCCGAACTCGAATGCGGGGATCTCGACCTTGGTCCCGGTATACTCGGCCGCGATCAACGCCTTGTACGCATTTCTGTTGTGCGAGAACGTATACAGCTTCTGTAGAGATGAAACAGAACAAAATACCACGAGGCAGGAACAACGGTAAGGAATTTGCGGATCGACGGAAGCACAATGAAGCGATCGACTACCACTACCACGATGACTTTCGGGGATGTAGATTAACTACAGGATGGCGAACTAGCGGAAAGGGCTGAAACATCAGCCTGGTCTAATCAACTGAAAACGCTGATTACGAAAGGAAAAACCTGAAGGCTAGAGGTCGGGTTACGTACGAGAGGAGCCATTGGAACGAGTCACAGGGCGAAACTGTGAATCCAAGGAAATCAACGCAAGGGAGAATAAGCCTTGCAGAAGGCGTGATCAGGAAGGGACGCTAAGAACAGGTCACTAATTAGTCCCTGCTAAGAGGGATTGAGAAGAAAGAGACGAGCTAGAAGAAAGCAGGGACATAAGTAGGGTTGAAGGGGTTAGGCGGAAGGGGAGAAACAGCGGGAGCGCAGGCGGGGGGAGGGGTGGGCGATAGGGGAAAAACGGGCAGAAGGTGGCGGGGGAGAGGAGGGAATGGGGGGTGTTCCGGAATGACACCATGAATGGCATGTGCAAAGAATTTCCAGAGGTTTGGCGGGAAGCTTTGCGGAGATCCCTTTGATGACGTGGGCTCCGCTCGCTGGTTTCAGGGTTTTCGTGCGGCGGAAGTTGTGCCTGAATGCTGCTGAGGCCACTTGGGCAGAAGCTCGGCGACTCTTCGCATTTGCGGCGTCAGTGATTCGCGAACCCCGACAAGTAACACCACGCATGCCAACGTACAGAAATACGAAAGCGTGCAATATACAACCCTGAAGCCTCACCTTCTATAACTGCCTCTTTCCGAGTCAAACTCCTACCGGTATTAACTTGGTGTCCCAAGCCTGCAATGTTCTACATTTGGTTACATGTAATGGCTGCCTACAACTAGTCTACGAAACCATTCCTCTTCTCCCACCATAAATCCTAATAATTCTGCCATCCTATTTTGCCCCAAACTTGGGATACGACTCCTTCAGTGTAACCGTGCGGTTAAAGACTAAGCGAGAGTCGGTGGAATCAGTGTCGACGCAGAAATAACCTGCGAGAAGAAAAGTGGACACAACGATGGGAAAACGTCCATCCAATAGCACAAACTGGTGAGGAGGTCATGTCCACGGCAAAACTTGCATTAGAGACACAAACTTTTTCAGAAACTTTCCTGCACCCGCTTCTCCACCACCTCCTCTTCTCTTTGTCCATTACGTACCAAGCCTCTCGAACTGGAAAGGGCTGCCGGCAGGCTTCCCTGCAAGGGAGGGCTCTGCCAGTGCTCCCTCTATCTCCTCCATGGACTCGGGGTTGAGGTCCCCCAGCCAGTCCTCCAGCTCATTGGGGTTCTGCGGAATGAGAGTGGTGAGAAGGGGCAATGGTGAGCAGAAGAGTATGGGTTGGAATGTTAGAAGGCAACTCCACCAGCGCTCCCTCTATCTCCTCCATGGACTCATGGTTCGGATCCCCCAGCCAGTCCTCAAGCTCATTGGGGTTCTGCGGAGCAGGGGTGGTGACGAGTTAATTAAGGGGGGTGGCAGCAAGGAAGCATTGAGGGACGCTGGGTTGGGGTGGAGAGGCATGGCACTGCCAGCGCTCCCTGGATCTCCTCCAAGAACTCAGGGTTCAGGTCTCCCAGCCAGTCCTCCAGCTCGTTGGGGTTCTGCGGGATGGGAGTGGTGGGCAGGGGCGGTAGTAAGAAGAAGAGCACGGGTTGGAATGCTAAGAAACAGATCTGCCAGCGCTCCCTGAATCTTCCTCCATGGACTCGTGGTTCAGATCCCCCAGCCAGTACTCCACCTCGTTGGGGTACTGCATAGTAGGGGAGGTGGTAAAAGGAGAAGAGAATGGATTGGGCTTAGAGCAAAGGAAGGCTCTGCCAGCGCTCCCTGAATCTTCCTCCATGGACTTGGGGTTCAGGTCCCCCAGCCAGTCCTCCAGCTCGTTGGGGTTCTGTACAGATGGGAAGGGGGGTGGCAGCAAGGAAGCATTGAGGGACGCTGGGTTAAGGTGGAGAGGGACGGCTCTGCCAGTGCTCCCTGAATCTTCCTCCATGGACTCGGGGTTCGGATCCCCAATCCAGTCATCAAGCTCGTTGGGGTACTGCATAGTAGGGGAGGTGGTAAAAGGAGAAGAGAATGGATTGGGTTTAGAGCAAGGGAAGGCTCTGCCAGCGCTCCCTGAATCTTCCTCCATGGACTTGGGGTTCAGGTCCCCCTGCCAGTCCTCCACCTCGTTGGGGTTCTGCGAGTGGGAAGGTTCAGGAGAAGGAACACAGGTATTGAGGAGAGCCCGGAAATACTTCACATATCAGACGACTCAAAATGGCGACTTTTGAGTCGACTCAAAAGTTTCGGGAGAAGGAACACATGTATTGAGGAGAGCCCGGAAAGACATCACACCAGGCGACTCAAAATGCCATGTGCCATGAAAAATTGAGGGTGTGAGTCGAGGGGAAATCATCAGAGAAGGGGGGAAAAGAGGAGACAAGTGGGCACGGTGGAGGCTGGGTGCGAGATGGATTGTGGGTGGAAGGTAGAGAGAGGAGGTGGTGGAACTGTGGATGGCAGAGAGAGGAGGTGGTGGTAGAGACTTTGTTCCACAGTTTCACCACCGCCTCTCTCTTTGTCTTCATTAACAGTACTGCATTACTGCCTCATTCATACCTCATTAATACTGAACTAGTGTCTCATTAATACCGAATTGATGCCTAATTAATACATCACTATGCATCACTATACCACATACGTACCTTTTACTACCTTGCAGACCCGTCCAAGGCCAGCATACCTCAGAGAGGAAGAGATTGTTGATCAGACAGATCCTGCTTTTGAGTCGACTCAAAAGCATACCTTAGCGTAGACATGAGCACAAGGGCGAACACCAGTTCGGTTCGAATCGAACACGTTCGTGTTCGGGCCGCTGCTGCAATTTGCCCCGCGACGAACACGAACGTGTTCGAGGTTCGCCCGAACATGCCTTCACAGGCGAACGGCGAACACCTGTTTTTGCTTAAAGTGTTCGCCGAATTGAACAGTGTTCGGTTCGGCAAACGGATGTGTTCGTGTAGGGGCGAACACGAACATGTTCGTGTTCGCCCCTTGCTCATCCCTACCATAGCGTACAGAAGAGGAAGAGGAAAAACTACCAGGCCAGCATACCTCGGAGAGGAAGAGCTTGTTGATCAGGCGGATGGTGACTGTAAGTGGGGCCTGGCCGGGCTTGGGCTCTGCCACCCAATGGATCACACCCTGTGCGCAGCAGAGAGAGAGAGAGAAAAGGGGGATAGAGGGGAAGAGAGGGGAAGCGAGGGAGAGGGAATGATGAGAGAGAGGTGGGGCTTGGGCTCTGCCACCCAATGGATCACACCCTGTGTGCGGCGGAAAGAGGGGAAATCGAGGGGTGTGGGGGGGGTGGTTTGGGTGAAGGGAGAAGGGGACTATTGAGGCGCCTCAAACTTGGCTGGCCTTGGGCTCTGCCACCCAATGAATCACACCCTGTGTGCGGCAGAGAGAGAGAGAGAGAGAGAAGGTGGAGAGGAGGGAAGAGGGAGGAGGGCACTTTTGAGTCGCATAAAATTTGGCCGGGCTTGGGCTCGGCCACCCAATAATCACACCCTGTGTGCGGCAGAGAGAGAGAGAGAAGGGGGATATAGGGGAAGAGAGGGGGACAGAGGGGAAGGGAGGGGAAGAGACGGGAAGAGAGGGGAAGAGAGGGGAAGAGAGGGGAAGAGAGGGGAAGAGAGGGGAAGAGAGGGGAAGAGAGGGAGAGAGGGAGAGGGAAAGATGAGAGAGAGGTGGGGCTTGGGCTCTGCCACGCAATGGATCACACCCTGTGTGCGGCAGGGCGAGGGGAGGGTGGATGCAAAATAAGAAGGCGAGGGGGAGACGGTGGAAGGTGTTAAGTTGGTGCCGCCCAATGAATCACACCCTGTGTGCGGTGGAGAGAGAGAGAAGATGGAGGGGAGGGGGAAGGGGACGGGGTGGAAGGGTGGATGGGGAAAAAGGTGAGAGCGGCATCGCAGGAGGAGTGGGCGGAAGGGGTAGAAACGGGGAGTCCAATACACCCACCGATACATCGGTGTCCTGGACGAGTCAAGGATGATGCGCCCAAACCCACTTTGTGGCCACGCACTGAGGCTGCAGTCACTCCTCGGACTTAGCCGGAGACTGGCTGCTAGCCATCCCTCTGCGCTTCGTATGAGCCCCTCCCAGTTTACCACCGCGGCTGCCTTCCGACTCGGCCTCCCTCTGCCGGTCCCGAGGCGATGTGACTGCCAACAGCTTCGTGAGCTTACTCGTGAACTTACTCAATCTCATTTCACTCGCGCGCAGAAGATAGATCGAATTAGATATGGATAAGAATATATTAAAGTCTCGGTTGGCGGAGGCAACATTGCCATTCTCACCTTGCCCATGCCACTCTCTCTCACCTTGGCCATGCCACTCTCACCTTGCCCATGCCACTCTCACCTTGCCCATGCCACTCTCACCTTGCCCATGCCTCTCTCACCTTGCCCATGCCACTCTCACTTATCCCTTGCTGCCCTCACGGCTTGGAGTTCTCACCTTGGGTTTGGTGCTCTTGGCGCGGTCACACTCCGCCCTCAGCTCCTTGACAGTCATGCCATCCTCCTCATAGATCACCTCGGTACACTTTATAGGGTACGCGTATCTGCCAGCCACAGGATGGTGTTCCATCTATTGGCCTCTCACACACGCACCTTGCCCTTGCCTGCCTTTCTCACCTTGGGCTTGGTGCTCTTGGCGCGGTCACACTCCGCCCTCCGCTCCTTGACAGTTAAAGGGGCACTCGACTACCACTGAAACAGCGTATTCATATGGTACCATTCAAAATTACACAACCTCACCTTTCCTTCGCCCCTCTCACCTTGGGTTTGGTGCTCTTGGCGCGGTCACACTCCGCCCTCAGCTCCTTGACAGTCGTGCCATCCTCCTCATAGATAACCTCGGTACACTTTATAGGGTACGCGTACCTGCCAGCAGCCAGACACAGAAACGAGGATACGAGTAGTGGAGGTTAAGGGAGCAGCAAGTTCTTGTTGTCCTTCAGTCGGAAGTGCAGAGCCAGGCTGCTAGTCCCACCAACAGAATACATCGCTCATGCTACAACAAAGCATAAGCAGGACAGACTTGTTGGGTGGGGGGGGGTGTGCGCTGCGGGAGCTAGGGACACGTAATTTCAGGGTCAGGGCGGTTACAGCTGCTTC